TCAGACTTCCATTCAACTCGATTTCTGATGTCCCTGAGTGATGGTGGTTCTATATTTTAGTTGTAATTTTGATGTGGTTGTACGAAGAGGTGAGCCATGTCTGCTTACGCTGCCATCTTGACCAGAAGCCCCTGACTTTTACATTTACTTCCATTATCTGGGTTCCTCTTCCCCAAGACACACATGTAGTTCAATCTCTCACTACCTCTGCCTTTATTCAGCTGTTACCTTATCGAAGAATCCTTCTCTGAACACCCTACGCAACAGCATACCCTCCCTGCTCCCTCTCTATCCCCCTTACCTTGCTTCCCTCCTCCATAGTGCTTCTAATTATTGTTATATATTTGCATCTGTGTTTACCTTTCTTCAGTGGAATACAATTATATTCATATCCCATCAATTCTACAGGCAGCATTGTGGTTTCACATCTGCCCCCTTGTTTAGGTGTTACAGAGTAGAGGCTGGGCACTGTGTCCTCTTTACCTTTGTGTTTTCAGCCCTTGGCTTGGGGCCTCAAACTTCGCAGGTGTTCTATGAACACTTTCAAATGAATAAATTTAAAGTGCGATCTCTCCTAATCTTCCATTCCGACTATTTTGACCTTCATTCATTCACTACTATAAGATCATATGGTATTTAGAGCCTAAACCACACCACCAGCACTTGTTACTAAACTATGTTTGTCTCTTATTCTTTTAGGTTCTTAACTATTAGGCTACCTGGTGTCCCATCTGGTGCAGACCTAGTAGTGTAATTGAAATAGTGTCAACCTCTGGTCAGGCCCTGTCTTCCCTGGGCAGCACCAGAGGTACTATATTTGATACAATATCAAATGCCGATCCTATTTTTCCCTTAACCCCAGAGTCATCCTTTTGCTCCCACCTCTTCTACAAGCACCCTGGCACCCAAATAGCAGAGATCTAAGATGCAGCGTCTCCTCTAAACTTATCTTTCAACATATTTTCTGCTGAATGTGCTCACCAGCTCTTTCATTCATTGATTAACTAATTCATTGATTAACTAATTCGTTCAACAAATATTAACTAAATGCCTTTTATATGCCAGCCATTATGCTAAATACCAAGCAAAATCAAAATAGAACATACAGGGTCTCTTCCTTCTGTGGAGTTTACATTGGAGGAAAAAAAATTAAATTATAAATTAATATACATCTTAAGTTTAAAATTGGTAAGTGCTAGTGAGGTATTTGGTACTAAGAGACTAGCAAGCAGAAATCGGATCTGGATAGGATAGGCAGGACAGGAGGGGATATTTATTTAATGTTTTAAATATTTTATTTATAAGTGTTTAGAGAGAGGGGAAAGGAGGGAAAAAGAGAGGAGAGAAATATCAATCACCAGCAACCTTTCAGTCCACAGGTCGGCACTCAATCCACTGAGCCACACCAGCCAGGCCAGGAGGGGATATTTAAGTTACAATCTAAAGTAAGGGCAAGCTGAGCCCTGGCCAGGTAGCTCAGTTGGTTAGAACATCACCCTGATATACCAAGGTTGTGGATTTCAACCCCAGTAAGGGCATACAAGAAGCAGGCAATGAATGAATAAATAAGTGGAACAATAAATTGATGTCCCCTCTCTCACTCACCAATAAATTTAAAGTTTTTTTTAAAGTAAAAGAAGGGAAAACTAGCTATCTACATGAAGAAGATGGGGAGAAGGGGGGATCTGGGCAAATGGAACAGCATCTACAAAGGCCCAGAGGCTGCACTGAGTTTGCTGTGGTGAGCAAGGCAGAATGGCAGGAGACGTGGCTGGAGAAGTAGAGGCGGGCAGAGCAGCGAGAGCCTCATAAGGCAGTATAAGGGGAGTAATTGATCCAACTCAGGCTCAAAGATGAATCCATTTCTCCAACAGTTAGTCCAACAGCTGTGAGAATAATTGATTGGGAGGCAAAGAATGGAATTGTTGTAACCCAGTCCAGAGCCGATAATGGCCTGTGGTAAAGTACGTAGTGGAGACAGCGGACTCGCTAATCCAAGTGAAAACTTTGACCTTTGCTATCTCCTTTACAGTAGCTACCAACATGCACTCCGTCATAAAATCTTATAGGTTCCAGCCTTCACCCTTTCTCACACATGACTCCTTATGTCTCTGTCCCCACTGGCCCAAAGCAGGTCCTTGTAACCGCTCACCTGCGTGACTGCAGCAGCCTCATTGCCGACCTCAGCTTTCAGTCTGGACTTGTTCCAGTCTGACCGGCACGATGTCGCCAGAGCTAATGTTCAAAAACTCAACTCTGACCATATTTCTCTTCTGCTCAAAATCCCCCAAAGGCTGAATGGTTTGGGAGTCAAGGTCCCTGAGAGTTCAGCCCAAATCCAGTCAAACCTGGTGCTTTTCCCATCTCTGTTCCTTTCTGTGCGTTATTCTCTCATTATAATACATCACTCTTTCTGGATATTAATCCCCACTTTACATCTACAGAAACTGGAACTTTGAGTGCCTAGTAATGTTAGAACCAGAGTCTCAAGCTAGAGGTTGTACTTTCAACTATTATACTCTATTTAAAAATGCAGCCATTAAAATTCATATTTAGAAGAATACTTAATTATATGCAGAAGTGCCCATCTTAAATAATTAAGATTTAAATTTTAAATGTGTTGCAAACTATGCATAGTATAATTAAATCTTATAAAATTGATTATATTTGTGAGGTGTAACCGGGGGTGATTTTTGTTTCCATTTTATTTTTCTTATCTTTCCAAAGTTTTTACAATTACTATGTGTTACTTTTATAACAACAATAATCATCAAGACGATTAGGGGGAATAGCCCATGGATCCTTTCAGGCTTTTCTCAAACACTGGCATCTCCTGCCTCTCCTCCCTCTCACCCCTGCCACCACTAGAACCTTTTAACCTTTTCTCTCCCCTGACTTCTTTTATAATTGTGACCTAATACGTCTCCCCGACAGACCAAGAGGTCCTTGAGTGATGACACTATGTCGTGCTTATTGTCACATTCCTCCATTTCCAGTTATTGTATAATACGTTGCTGAAGCCAGTCTAAATCATAATTTAGATTTTTAAAAGGCTGGCTAAAATGCCAGAAATGTCAGGAGAGAAAGGCTATCCAGATAAGAACCACAGAGTTATCTGGAGAAGCCCAATGAAGTGCCTCAGGCCACCTATTAATGCAAACTGACTTCAAAAGTAGGGGAGGGAAGGCAGACTAGAACAACAGGATCCTGTAACTCAGATCAGTGGACTCTCAGAAAATTCTTCTACCCTTGAGGACAAGAATGTACCTAAGAGTCCTTCATATTATGAATAATCACTTGCTCATATGTACTGAGCACCTGTTGTGTGCCAGGCACTGACAATAGGTTCAAGAGGGGGAAAGGCAGATAGGGTTCTCAACTTCAGGAAGCTTACAGAATGTCTGTCGAGGGAGAGGTTATATAAATAAACATATATACAGTGGTACCTTGGTACTCGTTGTTAATTCATTCTGGAACTAGAGACATGTTCCAGAACTAGTGACAAGTGCCAAAAGTGATGAGTACTGATCGATGAAGTATTTTCTCTAACAGGGCGGTGTCATGACTCATACGAGTTCTAGCAAGTGCGATGAGTCCCAAGCAAGCACCCAATACTGAAAGCTTTTTTTCTTGTCAAAATATGATGAGTGGGGGGTTTGACAAATTCTGAAGCCGATGATTACCGAGGTTAGTTGTGCTATTACTGTACTTAGTTGTGCAATTAAAAGATAATTTCAAGGATAAAGAAAGTTGTCCAGGTGCTGGGGAAGTCTGCAACAGAAGACTTAACCAAGTCTGAGAGAGGCTTAGATGAGAGAGGGCTGTCTGTGCTCTCTCATCTAGAGAGAGCTGAATAGTGTTCAGGAGAGAAGCCTGGAGAAACCTCTCTGGCAGAAGGAATGGTAAATGGTAAGGGAGAAGACATGGCGTGAAGCATTTCCTGAGACTGGAGCAGAAAGGGGAAAATCTGTCAGAGCTGATTATAGGCCTTGTTGAGAATCTGTTGAATAATGTGATTTGGTCTCCAAACAGCTCTTCCTTCTGTTCCCATCACTTAGAATCCTAGGCTTGAAAGTTTAGATGAAAAGGGGGTTTTATTGAAAGTAATTTCATAGGGTGATGTAATCATAAATTCCTAACTGGGAAGGTCAAGGTGGGTAGTCACAGCCCAGGCACATAACCTGTTAGTGTAAGGTTTACTCTTTGCCTTATCCAAGCAAAGGTATTTTGTTTGCTCTCCATTGTTCTTGTATAGCTAGGTTAACACACTTTTAAAATGCCAGGATAGTCCTTTTTCTTTCAAACACCTAGGAGGCATAATCACCCTCAAGGGAGATTATCGCAGAATCTTGCTAACCACTTCATAATCCAACCCTTACCTTGCTTTCTCCCACCTTCATTTAATCTTCCTTAGGTCCCCTTCTTAATTCCAAATTCGGGAAGGAAACTGTAAACAGTCATTCTAGAAAGCATTTTTTTCCTCAGTCTGTTGAGAACTTGCTTCTAGTTGTGTCCTGTTTGGCTCAAATAAATTTATATAAAAATACAAGTTTGGACCTTGTTACAAGAGCAATCTTAGAAGCACTGTCATCACACCTTCCATGCAAGGCACCCAAATATTCCCATTTTACACACATTCAAGGAAGGTAGTGGAACACTAATCTATAAGCAATGAGCTGCAGAGCCAAGACAGTCTTGTTAAAGCTCAATATCCAGCATCCAATGCATCGCCTGGTATTTTGCTACATTTTGTAAATCACTTGTGGATTCAAGAAACAGGTATACTTTAAAAGCATATTCTTTAAAAATGATGTCACGGATAATTTCCCCAAGTTAGAGTCTGGTATTTCCCTCTCCGCTTAGGCCCGTTGGCCCCTGAAGCTCCTTCGGCCCAGTGTGGCGAGGCCAGGCTGTAGGGAGGCACTCCCCCACCCACAGGGGCGTGCTCAGTCTGGGGTTTGGCTGCGGAACCCTTTCAAGGCGGAACTGCGGCCGCTCGGTGCCACAGTCCAGCGGACAATCAAGAGTGAAGCACCCTGCCGGTCGGGAAGGAGCTGACGCCAGCTGGGTCCCCGGCAGCCATCAGCCACCCCGCTTTGAGGTTCGGTTTCGAGGCCAAGCTAAAGAATTGCATTCTCCCCAGTCACAGGTGAGTGACGGGCAGGAGAACTGGCGGGCAGCAGCTGTGGATCCTAGGGAAGGTGCACTTTTGGGGGGCCTGAGCCCACCCAGCGCCGCTGCCCGTGGCGGGGCGCCCCTTTTACGCCCCGGAATCCGGCGGTGCGAGGCAGGATGCGTTCCTTTCCCAATGTGCGGGGCCTCTGTGATGGTCTTCTGGGCAGGACACGGCCGCTGTCCATCGGTGGGTTAATTCAGGAAGAGTGAGACGACTCTAAACTGCAGGCAAGCCCTTCCTTCCCCTCGGCCTCAGTTTCCTCACCAGGTGAGGTGAAGGCGGGAACCTTTGACAGCTCGAGAGGCTGTGACGTGGTGGGTGGCTTTCAGGTCTCCCAGTTAGTGTCTTACCCTAGCCCAACGCCCATTTTAGCTGGAAAAAGATACAGTACTGGGGAAAGCTGTAATGATTTGTAAATCATTCCAAGATTTTACAACAAGGCAGAAATTTGTTTTGACAGCAGCGAAAACTCTGACACCGTTGGCTAAAAGAACCACACTCATCAGAAATTTAGGGTATTTGTTACATGGGGCAAAATTAGGTGAAGATTGAAATTCTTTTATCTTGAAAAATTAAGACTAGTATCATTGGCATGTTTGTATATCAAGATCTGTATTACTACACGTCTTACTCTGAAGAGTGTCTCTGTTCAGTGCTAAGTATGAGTTAAGAGTAAGTCACATTGAAACAAACGAAAGAAAAAGAAAGGAACGCTGACTGTGTGTAAGGCGCTACGCATACAACAATCCAGTAAGGAAGGCTGTGGTATCACTTCCATTTCACAGACAAGGAATGAGGGCAGACTTACAATTGGTCAATGATTAATAGTGATTATAAAAGGAATTTGTAATATATGTAATATTGTTTAGTGGATTTGCATTTGTTACCAAAATATTTTGAACTTTAAAAACTTTAAGATTGTGTAGTTGGTTCATGGGCATTTCTTGAGTTTGCAGAAAAGGAAGGTATTGCCTTTATTTTAGAAATGTTAAAGGAGTGTTTTCAATAATTGTGAGGATTAGCAGTTTAAATAAGGGACACTTTTAACTTTCCTTTCCCTGCATTTCAAGCAAGAATTGAGTCCAAAGATTAGGCTATCGGAAATAGAAGTCACTGCCGTGTCATCTGAATCTTACAAATCAAAATTCTATAGTAATGATTCATTATTTCTCCACCCTCTTCTCTTGGCTGAAACTCATTTAGATTATTTCTACAAAACATTACTAAGCAAATCATTTTAAAATCACAGTGTTGAAAAGTTTCTCTTCCTTGTGCATATCTTTAGAACTTCAATTAAAAGTATTTAAAGGATTGATCCCCTTCAGGGCACACGCCTGGGTTTCAGGCCAGTTCCCAGCAGGGGCCAGTTCCCAGCAGAGGATGCACCAGAAGCAACCATACATTGATATTTCTCTCCTTCTCTCCTCCCCTTCCCTTCTGAAGATAAATAAAATAAAATAAATTATTTTTTAAAAGTATTTAAAGGATTGAATTTTTCATTACTTATGTCAATTTTCATTTTGTTAATTTAGTATGAGTAAGTTCAGTACTCAGACTCACAGCTTTTTTTATAACATAGAGTTTTTTCCCCTCTTAAAAAAGGAAAAAAACTATTTCTATTTGTCAAAGGTTTAACCATCTTTCAATGGAGTGCCACTTTTCCGTCTGGGAAACTTGAGTACTTGTTGTTAATTACATAAGCCAGAAGGTCTTGTTCCATTATTGTGAGTGCTATGCATTCAATGCTAAAATGTTTTCTTGAGTTTATTTGCATGACTGCTTCAAAACTTTAAAGGCCATAGAAAGGAAATGTAACAATTTTAGGGGAGAATATTGATAAAGTAGCAGTGTCTTGAGACATTGAACATGGTTACCGTCAGCCCTTGGTAATGTACAGGGCCTTGCTGAAATTTTGCAAAACATGGTCAAGAAGAGTTTCTGGCCTCTTTTTTAAATAATTTTTATTTATTGATTTTTTTTAGAGAGAGAAAAAGGAAGAGGGAGACAGAGAAACAATGATTTGTTGTTCCACTTATTTATGCATTCATTAGTTAATTCTTGTATGGGCTCAGATCTGGGATCGAACCCGCAACCTTGGAGTATCGGGAGGGCACTCTAACCAAATGCTCTGCCCAGCCAGGGCAGATCTTTATACTTTGGCCTTCTTTATACTTCTAGTATTTCAGTTCAAGTATTTCAGTTCTTTATACTTCTAGTATTTCAGTGCATAATTCCTAAATTAGCTTACAGATAGTATACCCATCTTATGGATTTTATACATGTTTCCATCATAAATCTGATACAGTTATGTAGAAAATTATGATTAATCTCTTCCGGTGAAACTCTTTTTTTAAACTTGGAGTGTAAAGAAACTAGTCTAATGCCTTTTCTGGAGCCAGTCAATGACAGTGTTGTTTGAAGTAAAATCAGAATATCATTACAAATTTTTTCATATTAAAAGTTGTTAATGTTGAAGTTCATTTGAATATTGACATTTAAAGTTTTGTGCATTGAATTTAGCCTGATTGAGTTAAACTACTTTATATCGTATACTATTCAAGGGGTTTTCAAGTGCGTTATCATATTTAATCCTTCTTTCCACTCTGTAAGGCAGATGGTGTTCCCATTACGTGTAGGAGGAAATTGGGGCCCAGAGAGAGTGACTTTCCCAGGACGAAATAATAGTATTGATACTTCAAAAGACACACATTAAATCCATATTTTTTTAAATTCCAGGATATGTACTCTGTCCATTTTACCTCAGCTCTACCATTCTTTCCTTCCCAATTTATTATTAATTGTATAAGCCACTCTCATATCGTATTTAGTGTATTTAGACTACTATAGCTTTCTGTCTCCCCCAGCTGTACTTCCTGGAGTATTTGTATCTTGTTGTATTATGTATATTTTTCCCCTTAAAGTACATACCTAACTGGCTCTGCCTGATTACTTGTATAAACCTGTTGTAAATATTAAAAGGTCATGTAAATTTGACTTTAATTTTTTAATAATAGCTGTACTGAGATCATGTATCATAAGTCCACCCTGGTAGCCCCAGTGCAGGGCTCTCTGTGCACTCACAGCGTTGTGCAACCACCACCACGTGTAACCCGGGACATTGTCACCCCCGACAGGACCCAGGGCGCAGTAGCACTCACTGCCGGCTGCCCCTTCCCCTGCTGAAAAACACTCTTCTACTCATTCTAAGGATTTGCCTGTTCTGGACATTTCACACAGATGGAATTATCCATATAAGTTTAATGGAATGAGGCTTTGAGAAGTTATTTTTAATCTGAGAGGTTCTGTTCCATTACACCCTTAGCACTGATTTTCACGTTACTTGAGCAGATCACTTTTCTAACCTGCATAGGGCCTTTTCCTGTTTGGTGTTCATGCAATAAATAAATCTGCTGACGTGCATGTGTTTCCTTGTTCTTGACCTTTGCTCTTCACATGTCTTAATAGGGTGTTCATGGTGTTGTGTAACCTGTTCTCAGGGCTCAGGTATCTGTTTATGGCTAAGTAACTTGTATTCTTAGTTGGGCATTTTTACCTCTATTTTAAAATGACTGATGAAAGCTCCTAGCTTGTTTTAATGTTCTTGGGAACCATGTTTCTAGAAATATAAATATCTCATTATCTTTTAAAGCAGAGTTGCCCCATATAGGTTATTAAATTATTTCTCTTGTGATAAATTTTACAGCAGCTAATAGCCACCATCCTTATGTAGGAAAAATCCTTTTTCCTTCAAGGTTTACCCCATTCTACCCTCCCTATAGTTCTCACCTACGGAAGTCCTCTTTAGTGAGGACCTGGCTACCTGATTCAGTGTTGGGCTTTGTAGCAGAGCCCTCCCTTCTTCTAGGTGATCCCACTGCCCATCAGTGTGGACAGTGAATGCTATAGTTTGGCTTCTGTCTTTCACCCCAGCTCTCCTCAGCTGCCTCCCCCGCGCCAGGCCTTGGAGCTTGCCACCACCCAGACCTCATCCTCCCTTGAATTCTTGAACCCCACCTTCTCCCCTACTCTGCTAGCACAGCCGTGGCCCACCTTTCACTTCTCTCACTCTTTTACTGCATCTGGGCCTGCTTTCCCACTAAAGGCTTCCCCCCTTTCTCCCAGTTCAGTGTTGTGAGAACCCCACTGTTGGTCCCCATCCCATACACCGTCTGCCTTATACCTTTGTCCACCCAGCCTGAACTTCTGATCAGATCACACTGGTCTCATTCATACTCCCAAACTCCTGTTGTCCTTGTCTTTTTTTTTTCTTTTAAGATTTTATTTGTTATTTTTAGAGAAAAGGGAAAGGAAAGGGAAAGAAACATCAATGTGTGGTTGCCTCTCACTCACCCTCAACTGGGGACCTGGTCCTCAACCCAGGCCTTAACTGGGAATCGAACCAGCAGCCCTTTGGTTTGCAGGCCAGTGCTCAGTCCACTGAGCCATATCATCCAGGCTTTTCTCTTTTTTTTAGTTTCTATCTTGAAAGTCTCTAATTCTCTTTTACTCAATGTTCTCTAAAGTTAAGCACTGCTGGGGAGTGAGGGTGGGGAGGAGGGGGCGGAGATTGGAAATCGGTGCAGGTGGGCACTGCTCGCCAGTTTTCATTCCTCTGCACCCCTTCTTCACTCCGGGAGTCAGCTTCCTGCCACCTCCACTGTGCATTCCCTGCCCCTTCCTTGTAATCCTGGAGGAAGAGTGTGCTTTCAGTCCAGGCTCTTCTTGAAACTGCCCTTTTTGGTTAACTCCTTCCTTCTCCTTCTCTCTCATCTTTAACCTCTTCCCTTCAGTTTATCAACATACTTGAGCCTCACCCTTCCTTAAGAAGAAAATCTTGCCCTGGCTGGTGTAGCTCAGTGGATTGAGCGTGGGCCTGGGAACCAAGCAACCACAGTTCGATTCCCAGTCAGGGCACATGCCTGGGTTGCAGGCCAGTTCTCTCCCTCTCTCCTTCCTTTCCCCTCTAAAGATAA